GTCCACGGTGATGTGAAAAAAATATGGGGGTCCATAAGTTGTAAATAGGGGTCCACGAAGTTTTATCTGGTTTCGATGTAAAGAACCAAAATGGTTGCTTGATAGCCCCTTTATTTAACTTAAATTTGCTGGCGACAGAGATTTAAGCACTTGTGTCTTTTCAACGCTACAGGATAGTACGCCACCATTACCTTTATTGAAGAGATTCTATAATGTTGAGTTCCTTGAGATTGAATGCTGCTTTGATTCCATCGCTGAGACCGGACTCGCACATTGTCGATTCTTCACTGATGACTCCAAAACTAATTCTGGGTCATGATCTGGGTTCTTTTTCGAGTTTAATGGAGATAAGCTTCACTTTTCTGTAGGGGAATATGCTTCGGTCTTCCAGATGAGGTAATTGCAATACTCAAAGCCATGGACTAAGGGTGGAACATAGGTGGAGGGGAAGGAGTTTACGTGACTGCAGTGACAACCAAGCTGCACTTAAGGCATTGACCAGCCCTCTATTTAAGTACTTCCGAACTAGTTCGGCAATGCAAGTCTCGACTAAAATATGATGGTGAAAATAACGAGGTTCTTTTACTCTGGATGCGAGGTCGCTCTGGACATCTGATCATTTGGTCAGAGTTGGCTCAGACCAGGCATTCCTCGGTCCGCAACCAGTGTTAGCACNTTCATTGACCAGCCCTCTATTTAAGTACTTCCGAACTAGTTCGGCAATGCAAGTCTCGACTAAAATATGATGGTGAAAATAACGAGGTTCTTTTACTCTGGATGCGAGGTCGCTCTGGACATCTGATCATTTGGTCAGAGTTGGCTCAGACCAGGCATTCCTCGGTCCGCAACCAGTGTTAGCACTCCCAACTTCGGCAACTGAAGCCACCATCAGAAACTGGGTGAATACTTCGGTCGGAAATGACTGAGAGGCATCGAGGGGATGCAGGTGGGCAAAACTCATGTTGCCTTCAATCTCACAAGGTTTATCTAATTTTTTGGTCTCACTGAGCAGACGATACTGCAGACAACTTGCTGGATTGCTGACTGGTCACTTCACGTGGCACAAACACCTGACTGTGGTAGGCGTAAATGACAAGTCCATTTGCCCATCTTGCCTTGAAGAAGATGAGACGGTGGAACACTTTTTGTGCTTTTTGCTTGCTTGTTTATTTGCCATTGACTTTTTTAAACTCGTTATTACCTCCATTGTCAGTTTCTGAATTAAAAGTTTGGCCTAAAAAGCTTAGCCGTTTTGATATTTTAAGTTTTGTGTTTTAAAAATGTGACAAATATTTTTCGCCTCACTTTAAAACTCGGAGCGATAAAAATAAAAATGATGGCATTAACATAAGTAAACTATTTTACATATACTCCACGTGCAAAGTCATGAGAGAGGCGAACATTTGATGAGTTTATGGTGAAGATAATGTAAATCATGATACAAAAAAGAAGGTAGTTCCATTGTCACTTTTTCGTCGCCATATTAACAACCTGACAATTAAGCAGATTGTGGAATTTCGTGCTACCATATCCAATATCTAAAATCCTTTAAATTTTGTTATTCATTTTTGGTTTATTTAAAGCAATTTGTTCTTATTATCGAAATTTGAACAAGCAAACGGTCTTTTGTTGGGTATGGTTCGGTTATTTGTCCAATGATTTTGGGTTATTGTGTCCACACGCATATCCCAAATAAAAAAATGTGAATGGATTAAAGTTTGATTTAAAATAAAGATTTAAAATTTTCGAACACTAAATTGTTAATAAATTCGGTGTGAAATATGCACTTTTTTGTAAAAAAACACCGTGTGCCGGAGTTGGACAGATTAGGGTTATTTTTCCTAAGCGCGGCCGAAGGCCTCCAACGCGGAGAGGTATTCTGCGCGTAAGTCCTTTGGTTACCGAAACCCGAGCTTACATTTTCTGGCAAAATGCTAAGTTTACCACATTTTCAAATGGGTGCCGAGCGGTCGGAGAGGTGAAGGGTGACTTGCCCTAAAGTTTGGACCGTTCCCTTTCTAATGGGTGGAGTCATCAATTTTTTTCACACCCGCTCCATATTGAACAGTAAACTATATTTAAGGGATTCGCAAGCAACCATAAAAGTCGTATTATGAAATTTCACACCGTTAACAAAGTATTTGGTTGTGGTTTCAAGTCCTCTAAACATTTGTTAAGCCGTTCAAAACTTTACGACGCACGACAATAGGACACTTACGACACCTTGTGAACTCTAAATATGTATTAAATTCACACCGAAATGTATATATCTGAATCAATTATCTTCGGTATAGAAACCCGTAATAGTCCTGGCTAGATACATTGTAAAATAATCAGATGACAAAAAGACACAAAAAAGTTTGAAAACCCCTACATATACATATGTATATGTTCACTAAAATTTAATTAACCTAAATAGGAAGTGGTCATCGTATTTAGTGTAAAATTTAAACATCTACTTTTAACAGTTAATGTTATTAAAACTATTTTATACATAATCCCAAATTTATGATATAAAATCCCCTCTACCAAAAAGCTTAAATTAGGTAACGCCGCTTCGAATTTTTAACAATTGAGCAAAAGTTGTTTATTGAAACTACGTTCTTTTTTGTATCATGATGTAAATAACGCTAGCGATCGCAGTGCTCGTAAAAAATATAACTCTTTCGAGCGAGAGAGTATTTTGACGTATTTACGAGCTCTATTTTTTTAAATCTACAAGTGTTATAAATAGAACACAAGAAAATATTTTACTTTTATTTTGGCCACTCTGAGTTTAGTTTTTGAATTCACCCACGATGCAAATTTACATTGTTAGATCTAATTTTCACATTTCATTTTTTACGGGCTTTGGGAATATTTAGAAATGGATCAGCAGGGGGTCCACCGGGACCAGTCAATTTATGAAAGGGGTCTACGAGAAAAAAAGTTTGGGAACCTCTGGTCTACATAGAGAGCTGCACGATCACATAAAAAGGTAACATGTCCGACATAGCCTGCAGGTCAAGACGTCGGCGCTGGACTGATCCTTTTTTGTTTGTATTTGAATCAAATTTTTGCTTTATAAAAACTCGACAGGTCAGCACGACCATACTCATCGAGGAGCCATTTTAAACTGTACGTTTTTTTCTATATTCCTTTACGATATTTAATATCCTGTGCATTTTGGTTTTGCCTGGTGTTATAACACAGTTCAACAAAACTTTACCACCTGAGTGAGACACATCGTTTCTTGTATATTTTTTGGTTCTGAATCCAAATCTGGCCACAGAATTGCTCTAGCACGTCAGAGTTTTAGATATCCTAACCTCAAAGTGCCAAAAACACGGTTTTTGGCGATATTTGAGATTATATTATACAAAAATAAAAGAGTTTTCGGTACTTTAAGGTTAAGATATCTCAAAGTTATAACGTGCTAGAGCAATTCTGGGTCCAGATTTAGATTAAGCGCCGAAAAATCTACAAGAAACGATGTGGTTTCCACAGGTGATAAAAAAGTTAAAATTTGTCGAACTGTGTAATTTAATGGCATCTACACATTAAAAGTGGTTTACTACAAGGACACCACTTTCCGATTTCAAGGTATAACCCAATTTTGTATTGGCACAGGTAAAACCACAGCAGACTGTGTGCGTCTCCTTGAAAAACACCGCTACAGATACACCAATAAATGCACAATTTGAAGTATCGCGACATGCATTACAAATACCACAGCTCTTGGAGTGAAATACTTTCATCAGCGACTGTAAGTTAAAAGTTGTCTATTTATGAGGTTGAGGTGTGGCTATTTTTCAAAATGCTAAATTTAAACCTAAAAGATAATTTATATATGACCCTTAGCTTAGTACACTCACCGACATAAACGTACTACGAATACTACGTTTAGTCATTGTATCTCTAGTCAGTCAAATAATTCCATTCCCATATAAAATTTGCATAAACACCTCTAGGTGTCTGCTTTTAAATTCTTTACATTAAGAATGTACGATAGTTTCCTCTGCGGCATTCTCAGCATTTTCAGAAAGCCACCTCAAAAAGTATACCTAAAGAGTGCATGCATGTACATTGTACAATGTAAATATGTACATATGTACATATGTATGTATTGTCTTTTTTAATGCAACAGTTGCAGCCTCAGCCTTAATATGCATAAAATTACCATGACTCACCGGTCATTTAACAAAGAATTCTAAATTTTGTAGCATCCCTACGATTGACTTTTGAACTTCCCAGCCGGAAACTAGGTTTTTTATATCCTATGCGTATAAAAAGAGAAATAATAAACCGACGACAATGTAATTGTAATGACGTTAAGTAGCCGTACATAATGGGATCTAAACAGTAGCGTTGTGGCGAACAAAAAACTAAGCGACAATAGTTTTGACAAATACCAATAATAACAGTGAAAAATTTATGGCAAAGGTACAAAAGAGCAACAAATGGTATAGAATAACAAAGAACGTTCGCTAGAATTTTGTGGAGAGTTTATAAAACTCAGATGGAAGCGGCTAAAATGATCGGCGCAACGTTGTCAATAGGTTTGGTCAAATGTATCGATGCCCCGCTTTGGCTCACTAAATATTAGAAATTATGTATCAGCAAAGCTAATGATGCGTCGCGCACTTCCGTTTTGTCCGGACAGCGCAGGGGGAGATCTTCACAACATCCATATATGTACGTATGCACACATAAAGGTATTTATAATTTTTCCCACACGTTTATATAATTGATACGTTTGGACAGTGAGAACATCAGGCAGGCACATACATACATATGTATTTACCTTGCCACCAAAAAATCCTAAAGAGGAAAAGAGTGAATGAAATGCGGATTTTCGTCCGTTTACCGGGTCCATTTTCGGATGCTTTGATGATCCGTTTTTCCACTAAAGTGTGTGGCAGAAATGTGTGTACATAAAAGTACCGAAAATGGTTGTGAAACTGATATGCTTTTTAGCTGATTTTCTGAAATTTGTCTGATTGAATCCTTCATTCAATACGCTTCCTTCTGCACTTCATAGATGATTTTTCATAGTTGGAAAAAAATAAAAATTAATAAAGCGCCTGACGGCGTTCGAATCCGGCACCTTCTGGAAGCTAACAATTAGTAGCACGCTTCTCTGCATGCTCACCCGCTGCCTATTGAGTATTAATGCTTCCAAATGTTCAGCTTGAACAAATAAAATAAAATTATTTCATTCAAATAAACTGACTCTTGTCGAATGAAAATTTACGTGTATCTGCTGGCTGGATAATTGCGCACTATCGGCGTTTTGAAGTAAGAAATTAAGATGGTCGTTGAAAATCTTATTAGCAAGATATTGCCATAGCAAGTGCTATAAAAATGGTTAATTATACATATTATCTTGTCGTCTTTAATATTTCTCCAGTAGCTCGTTTCTGTAACAATTCTCTACCATGAATTCGCCGCCTTGTTATCTACTGCTAATGAGTATTAGAGAAGACGTATATTCTCTACTTGTAGAGAAATAATAGATAGTGAAGGGTTAAAGAAATGAGCTACAAATGTACATACATATGCATGTTATCAATAGCACTCCCATTTGCTAGTGATATTGTTTGCCGATAATGTTTATTTATTTATTTTTAGGAGTTTTTAATTAAAATATAGTACATAATCTAACAAACCAAATATGTATGTATAAGCCCAAGTTTAAAACTTTATAGAAAACTACGAAAGAATGCAACAAATTTTCACCCAAATTTCCACGATGTAGGGAGGGATGTATTCTATCATTCTTGCCAAATTTCAAACTTTTCTCTCAGAAGTGTTAGATTTTTTTTGAGTACACAGTTCTAAAGCCCATTCAATTTTAGTCCAATAATATGCAAGTCTCAAATGGCTAAAAATTACCGTTGATTTTTTAGAATTTTTTTCGCTGAAGGTTTTGCGGGTTTCTTCCATATAAAAATAAAAAGTGTTTATGCGATATATGGAAGCAAATGCCATACAAATAATAAAAAAAAATCAACGGTAATTCTTAGCTGTTTGAAACTTGCACATTATCAGACTAAAATTGAATGGGCTATAAAACTGTATACCCAAAAAAAATCTAACACTTCTGAGAAAACAGTTTAAAATTTGGGTGACAGTTTGTTGATTTTTTTGTAGTTTTTTACAAAGTTTTAAGCTTGGGTTTATATGGGTTTTATTAGAGAATAAACTGGGTTTTAATTGAACATTGATAAAAAAAATAATTAAACATAACGTCGTTTAAAGTACAAAACCGCGTATCGTGCAAAACCGCGTAACTGACATTTGCTGCCAAAAATTGGATTTGCTCACACAAGCTCTTGGCTCAATCCTTATTCATTCGTCCTGAAATATTCTAGCCAGAAATGCGATTGCTTTATAAAAAAAGATAACCATTTTGAAATATGAGTGTTTTTACTCTGTAGAAAATAATTAATGCAACCTCACATACGCGGTTTTGCATTATCGTGATATGCGGTTTTATACTTTAAACGACGATAAGTTGCAAACAATATCAATTTGATAGGGGTGATATGAGCGATACCGTATGTGTGTGTATTAGATCACGTCAACAAAAAAATAAAAAATCCTGCAATGCCGCCGGAACCCGATTCGAATTTTAGTATTTGCCATAGTATTGAGCCTCCATGAATATCCTCTATCTACGATAATTTTAAGAAGTCGCGCATCGATCGAACATTTGTTCTCTTCTTTGGAGGTCAATACAATTTTCTAAAATCAGTCAAAAGGCTCGTATTGTTGTATGTCGTAAACTTTAAACGCCTAAAAAATATATCAAGGGGGTTCGCAAAGTACCATCACAGTCATATTATGAATTTTTTCATAAACATTTATTTAAGCTTTTAAGGTTTACGACATACAACAAAAGGACACTTACGACACCGTTGTGAATCCCTCATATAAAAGTACAACTCCACAACAAGCTTTCAGGCTTTCAGCAATAGTTGAATTGTATATCTTAAAGCCTGAAAAGCCTGTTGTGGAGTTGTACTCTAATGGCCTAAATAAAGTAGGTTTAAAGAGCTTTATAAAATGACGTTTTCATACATTTTTCAGTTTATAAACCTTTTTTAAAGCTACTTTATTTTTTATGAATAAGGCCATAAGAATATTTTAATTACATGTCATTCAGGCCCGGACGCAAGGGGGAGGTTTGGGGGTTTAAATCCCCCTGTTTGGGGAAAATATGCATACAAATTTGTTTAATTTAGTTTACGATAATAATGGCAAAAAATATTTTAAAATCTCTGTAAACCTCTTTTATTGAGTTAGCCTAATGGTGACAACATAGTTTTTCCTTGCAATTAGGGGAACGAAGGATATTGTAGGTTCAGCGGCTATTGGAGACGACCTATTAAAAAAAAACGAGAATCATTTAAAATAGCAATTCAAGCAAAAATGAGCTCTGTGATGGGAAACCAATAAATATATAAAAAACATTGCAGTCTCATATTGTTTGAAAAAACATTATATGTAGTATTCAATGGATTTTTACCCCTTACGATAAAAGGATTGCGTCCACTTTAGGATTTAAGTTTTTAACTGATATGAAACGTACGTTATATATCAAGTTCTATATTTGCACTTTAAATGATTTTGTACTAAAAACTTTTTTTTTTGGGCTTTTAATGCTTATTATTTATGTTTTGAAACGTACAAAATTAAAAAAATACTCTAGCGAATATTGTGGCTTATTTGTATTTTTATTTTTTTATCATTTCCATAAATTTTATGGAATCATGATATGGATTGTCAGATGGCGAAAATTCATACACGAGCCGAATATATTCCGAATTGATTAGTTTTCGGNTCATATTGTTTGAAAAAACATTATATGTAGTATTCAATGGATTTTTACCCCTTACGNATATATTGTGTTTGAAAAAACATTATATGTAGTATTCAATGGATTTTTACCCCTTACGATAAAAGGATTGCGTCCACTTTAGGATTTAAGTTTTTAACTGATATGAAACGTACGTTATATATCAAGTTCTATATTTGCACTTTAAATGATTTTGTACTAAAAACTTTTTTTTTTTGGGCTTTTAATGCTTATTATTTATGTTTTGAAACGTACAAAATTAAAAAAATACTCTAGCGAATATTGTGGCTTATTTGTATTTTTATTTTTTTATCATTTCCATAAATTTTATGGAATCATGATATGGATTGTCAGATGGCGAAAATTCATACACGAGCCGAATATATTCCGAATTGATTAGTTTTCGGCATGAACGCCTTTTTTAACAAAGGCAATTAGTTTGATAGATTGTAATTCAAATACATAAGTTAGTGCTGTAATACGTATATGTATGATTGCAATAGGAGAACTTTGAATTTAAGATGAAAGATCTATTTTTGTACACTTCATTTTGAAACTTATAATAAACGTTCACAAATTCATCTTTATCTTCATCTTTATCGTTCATCTCAAATTTACTACGCGTAAGGCAAATTCTTCGGAAATGGAATACTCAAGTTTGTCGATTTTAAACCTAATTTCAATGTATTTCACACAGAAAATGAGGATTGTAACGAGCACCCTAGTATAGATTTAAGTTATTAGCGAAACCTAGTTGTCATACTTTAACTTTCATAACCAATCATGTAAATGAACTCATTCAATTGCAACTCTGAATTTATCCTTTGTATCAATGTCCATGAACCAAAAATACAAGATCACGTAAGAACGCGACGTTGTATTTGTAACTGGTTTTGAGAAAAAAGTTTGCGAAAGCGGGTTCGTCAGATGAACGAAAGACACAAGATCACGTAAGAAGAAGAGAGTGAAAAAGTCGATTTTTTAGCGGGTTCTACGCCATCTTGTTTCACTGGAAAACGAGCGAAAAGTAAACAAAGAAAAGAAAACAACGAAAACCAAAATTAGCCAAAATTATTGTCAGCCACTTTAACCGCACAATTTAGGTAAAATGATGCAACAAAATGCTTTCAAATGTATTGTCATGTTGAATTAACTCTTCTTTACTTGAATAAAAGTGTAAAATAGTGGTGCTTGTGATGTAAACAAACGCTCAGCTGACGAACCCGCTTTCGCAAACTTTTTTCTCAAAACCAGTTACAAATACAACGTCGCGTTCTTACGTGATCTTGTATTTTTGGTTCATGNGTAGAACCCGCTAAAAAATCGACTTTTTTCACTCTCTTCTTCTTACGTGATCTTGTGTCTTTCGTTCATGTCAATGTCATGAACGAAGATGTATCATCTATCAATGTTAATTTTTAAGACTATAAGCAGTGACAGGGATGATAAATGAGTTTTTTAATTTTGTACCAAATCACTAAAAGAAAGTGTACTAAATATGCCGACAGAGTACCAACATTTAAAACGCTATGCATACATTGTTACATATACATATGTTTTTAGATTTTCTGTATACAAATCATGATATAAAACATAGCATCTTGCGAAGTGGGGGAAATCGAGAGCGCAAAATGACACTGAGATCTGCCAATTTCTGTTGGAAAAAAAACTGCGAAAACTTACAAGTAAAAAATTTCTGCTGATCACAAACATGTGTTCGTTAATAAACAAAAGAAAGGAAGAAAAGTTTAGTTTAGTTAATTTACTATTAATCTCTAATTTTCTAATTTTAGTATGTCAACTATGGTTGTCGTATAAAATTTTCCAATTGTACCATATTTTTCCCAGAAATATACCAAAATAGATAATAATACTGTAAGTTTCTGACCGAATTTGTCAGTTGATCGTTAAAACGAAAATGGGATAATTTTAAAGGCACATTTGTAGCTATATCTACTTAATTTTTGTGAAACAAGGAAGCGTGCTTGAAGGAGATTCTTTTATTTTTGAATGCGTCATGATGTGGCATCAAAAATATTTGTTAGAAAAAAAACTTATTCATTCTGAGATAATTCAATTATATGTTAAAAAAAATTTTCCTATACAAAAGTATTCAATACTAAAAAAATTCCAAATCGGGGACAATGCACCAAACGGATAATACAAATGGACCACCTATTGCAACTGTGAAAGTGATCAGCTGTTTCGAAGATTGTAAGTTATTGCAAATTTTGCAAACTGCTCAGAATTTTTTTTGGAGAATACAAAAATACTCCTACCAAATTTAACTATCAGAAAGTCAGAATGGCGTAAGTTGCAAGTTTTTACTGGTTTTGCGTTCAATAACTTTTTCTGATAATTTTGTCTTCCCATCAATTTTACTCGCCATGATTCTTTTATACTCTCGCCGCTAGTACTTTGTGGAAAATTTTGTGATTAGACCTTTAGACAGCTGTTTTTTTTTTTTTAAAGAGTTTCGTTTTTAATAAACGTCACGTATTTACTTAAATAAGGTAGAAAAAAATTACTATATTTTTATGCACATAAATTCAAATCTCCAAGTAAATAGAATTCGACATAATTGTGGTGCAGTACCGTATCTTGACAAAAATGTCGACGTAGTATCAATGTACTTTGGCTTCCAAAATGTACCAAAAAAGTACAATTGTACCATCAATTTCATCACTGAGCAGTGATCGGCTTCTACCACATTGTAGATCTGCCACTTTTTTGAGCATCTACCACATATTCGCATTTTTATTTTGGCTCGACATAATTTTCTTAAGTTTAAGAGCAGAAATTGTCCAATACTAAACACTAACAACAGGCAGAAAGGGATTATAAAATAAACTGTAAAGTATTAAATTTTCTCATTATTCAATTTTTCGACAGGAAACGTGGTTTTATTGTGTTAAATTGCAAAATATATGATTTATAAAAATAATTAATAGGAAAAATGTTAAAAAACGGTGATTTTTGTGAAAGTATTAGCAAATTTCAGTACATCTAAAGTTTCTAAAGCGTTGTCCAAGTAGCGGTTTCTGGAACGTGCTACATTTGTTCGCTACATCGTGATGTGATAAAAAGAAAAACTGCAATCCGCAAGGTTGCAGAAATCTTTCAAAATATGTTCGAAAAATATCTTGATGTGGAAGGAACTGCTTTACACGTTCAAGGAAAAAAATTGCCAAAACTCAACGCAATTTTTAGGTTAGGTTAAGTTAAACGGGCAGCTCTGAAAAAGAGTTCACTCGGAGGCCGCAGAGGCCCATTGTGATGCCCATGGGGGTTACCCCAAGCCTATCCCTACATGTCTTCGAACCTTTTTGTTTTCTGGCGAATCCTAGCAGTCCTTCCAGAGGAGCTTTCCCCAAGATATCCAGATTCTCGAAGAAGTGGTCCCCAAGAAACTTGAGGCGTTTTCCTCGAAGTGCTGGACAGTCGCAAAGGAAGTGCTGGACGGATTCTAACTCCTCCTCATCCCTGCAGCTTCTACAGAAATCATTATGCGGGGCTCCGAACCTGGCGGCCATGTGGCCAATGGTCCAGTGTCCCGTTAGTATTCCTGTGAGAAGCCTGACGTTTGACTTTGAAAGCCTTAATAGACACCTTGTTCTTCGTTCATCTAGCCGTGGCCAGAGTGATCGCGATACCCTGCAGGTGTGAAGGTTTACCCACCTACTGTTGGTAGCTGCCCTGGTCAGTCTCTCGACTTCTGAAGACAGAAACCGCAGGGGCAGTTTCACGATTTGGGTCGCTTCCGCGAGCCAAATCTCAGATCCCTTTCTAGCATATTCGTCCGCTTCTTCATTTCCCGCGACACCACAATGTCCCGGTACCCAGTAAAGATTAATTATGTGTTGCTGTAGAGCTTGTAGGGATCTTCGGCATTCTTTAACGCATAACGAGTTAGTCGTTCCCGACCCTAAAGCTTTGATAGCCGCCTGACTGTCAACATCGAGGGCAAGTTTAGATGGAGCTAAGTCAATCATGCCCACCAACCTTGTCACCATATGGATTGGATATATCTCAGCCTGAAAAACACTGCAGTGGTCTGGGAGTCTATACGACTCCCTGAGAGATAACTCCTGAGAGAAGACCCCAGATCCTGTTCCGATGTCCATTTTGGAGCCGTCCGTGAAAATGGGTATTTCGTCATCGCTGACTTCTGTCAGGAAAATGGATATCGAAGTTTCGATTGAAGTCAATTTCCGTGACCTGATGGTCACAGCGGCTGTATTCCACCCCCACTCTCCCGAGGATTGTGGCGTGACCTTTGCAAATTGTTTACAGCCTGTTGGACGCTCTGAGTCGTAGAGCGTTTTTAGCTGCGTTAATAATAATAAAAGATTGGCGCTTACACATATGTTGGTGTTTGGCCGAGCTTCTCCTCCGACTTGTGGCGTGCGCCTTAATGTTGTCACACAAAGCAGAGGGGCCTACAGTTTTACGCCGACTCCGAACGGCGATTGCATTTTTATGAGAAGCGGTTTTTCATGGCAGAAAAACACTCGGAGGTTTGCCATTGCCTGCCGAGAGACGACCGCTGTTAAGAAAAAACCTTTTTTCTATATTTTCTGCGATGTTGCTTTGCCCAGGGTTTAGCTGCGATACTTTTAACATATAGGTCTATAGGTGGAATATCCAGAATGACTAAGTCATCCGCATAAGCAAAGACCTTAGCGGCTTTCGATGTACGAAGCAGGAGTTCGTTTAGCACGAGGTTCCACAGTAGGGGGATAGATTGAACACTAAAACTGTTGTGTTTTGTGTACGCTGTGTGTATATGCGTCGTTCTATCCCAGCAAGACCCTGTGGGGAAAATCTCTAGTTCTGAACTGGTGCGCTTCTAGTACATTTAGACCCAGTACTGGTTCACGAGAAATCTCTTTTGCATGCAAGGAACTGGCGAATTTAACATGGCGATGTCAATTGCCCCCCGCTGCATCCCTTTTTCGATAGTTCCGAACTAGTCCTAAATTCTATAATTCTGAACCAGTTCTAAAATCGACAGACGAAAGAAAAAAGTATCATGATTTTTCAATCTTTTTGGTTCTACCGTGTGTGCGATTTTAAGTTATTTTGGAAAAAATGTGTTTTCAATTAAATTTGTTTGAATGATTGTAAGAAATGTACGTTTACATACCTTTAGCTCTAGCTGAGTTTGCAGAGGTGCTCGCTATTATTTCTTACATTCCAGACTGTCCCAAGATGTTGAAATGTTAACACAAATTTTAGTTTTGTATTACCAAGCTATGAAAAAGCATCTGCGAAGCACAGAATAGAAGCGTATTTGAACGAAAAAGCTGCCGAACACATATCTATGTAAAGTAAACAAAGCCCCGCGCTGCATCCCGTTTTCGATAGTTCTGAACTGGTTCTAAATTCGACAAATAAGATCTAGTTCGTTCTGCATCCCTTTTTCTATAGTTCCGTATAGTGAAAAAAACTGAAAAAAATTAGTTTTTTAAAATTACCACTTTTTGCCGATTTTGGACTGGTGGGGATCTAGTTCCTATCGGACTAGTTCGTTTTTGGCGATAAAGACCTAGTACGGAACTAGAAATTTGATTCACTAGTCCGCGGTTTCCCTGCAGGGNCTGTTCGTAGGCGATGCACAATTTAAAGCGAAAAAGTGCTCGAAAAAGAGTCGTAAACGGCTATCATAA